TCCCCTTCCTTGCCTGTCGATTAGCCGCATTGATCGAGCCCTAATAGGTCGCCGAGGTCAACTCCTTCCAGTGCCAATTGCGCTTCAGTCGCACCCTCAGGAGGTCCGCGGGTCCCTCAACTAGGTGAATTACTCCTTCTTCGACCTTCATTCTAATCGTGAATTCGTCCTTTAAAATGGAAATTTCCCATGGTTTTGAACAGAAGTCATAGAACTGTTCTCTTACCAAAACACTGAATTTAACTGAGAAGATCTCCGATGTCGGATAGGAGAGATTGATTCGCTGTTGCAGCAGATCACTCACGTTTCCTTCCACAACTCGTAGCCCGTTCTGAACTTATGAATTGCTCCTTCCTTTCTGAACAGTAGCTGAAGGAGTATAACTTACATAAAACATTCTCACAGGCTCATTTGCCTGACAAAATCCTCGGCAGAATTCATCGAAGGATTGATTTTTGCCGAGATCCGCATCGTACATTGGAAAATGAGATGAAACGAATTCAAGAATCTGGAATGAAGAATGAATGAATGAAAAAACCTAAACATATGCATCACAGATGAACACCTGAATCTATATATCATCATCACTTTACAATAACTGATTTCAGAACACATCAAGTATCAAAGGAGAAAGGGTGTGTAAACAGGAATCTGATGACTGACGGTTTTTGTATGACGGTATCACATTAGATAGGGGTATAAGAACTCATTGATTAGCCACGTCTAAAGAAAACTGACTTCGTTGTCATCTGCGCAAGTGTATTCATTCATCTGATTCTTTTATTCATTCCATTTTTGGCACACGACCAAGATCTTTCGAAACAAAAGGATCAACAAACAACAATGGTCCCATCCAGTAGGAGGGAGAATATGAGGCGCTACTTCGCGTCGCTTGAAGCGATCCCAATTTTTGCAGGGGAAGAAGCTCAGAGATTGGTGTAAAGTGGAGAATTGGAAGCAGGATGGGGTTACGTGCAGTTAGGGGGCATCATGATGCAGTTTTTCCAAAAGCTAGGGTAACTCCGAGCCAGGGGAGTGTAGCCAGTCTACGGGGTGGGGGGTGAGGGCAGTCACTTGGACATGCGTGAAAAGCTGGAATGTTCGAGTTCACACTAGTTCGCCGAGAACTGCATCATAATGTCCCTCTAACTGAAAGTTGAGCCGACAGAATGGCCCACGCACCTTGGGATCTTTCTCCATACACAGTTTAAAATTTCTGTAAGTGGGTGCATTGTCGCACCATTTATCATCGTCCCTGTTGTAGCTGTAGAAGTGCAGCAGTCGAACAAACAGCAGTTTTATTAAGACGAGGAATAGAATAATTAACATAGCAAATAGTCGGCCTTTTATACGGCACGATACGGGCGGTATGGATCGGTGATCGGTAAGTGACCCAAGATCTGACGATCACCTACAGAGTCCCTGATAGACTAGCCAGATCAAAATGCAATTCATCGAATCAACACCTCCCCCCCATACTTCCATTGTGGGATGAAACCTCAAATCGATGAATAACCAGGTAAATATAACAATGAGAACAAAAATAACAAGGCTTCCCAAGAACAGACGCTAAAAGCTTGGCTATTTGAAGCTGTTGGATACTGTTTGTTCACATAAGAAGTACTAAAAATATTAATTTTGAGTTGGACGTGCGCTGCAGATGGGTGGGTTCAGAACGACAGTCTACATATTCCTGTAGATCTTCGAGTAAGGGATGAACGAAAAATTATCTAGAACTCGCATTAATTACCTCTATTGTTTCAGTCATTATGTATCATGACGAATTGACGGGGTTGTCTTTGAGCTCTCAGCAGCATATACTGAGTAAATGCCTTGGTTTCACTCGTGCCTCGTTAGAAATTCCTGCATTTCAGGCTTAGGGATGGCTAAGGAATTGAGCAATCTGCAAAACGCGCCAACAACTAACTGCCGCTGACCGCATCAAAGGAATGGGCTCGCTAATGCCCGCTTTATCCATTGCCGAACTGTCTCAAATTTATCATTGACTTCATGTAGGAATTAGTTTGAGTGAGAATGAAAACAGGGTGCCCCAGTTAGCCCGCAGTGCTCGTAGACAGAGGTCGGAGTTCAGTCACTACCGGCGAAGAATTACTAACAAGGAAAGGCTCGTAGGTCGCCATGGCCATTCAAGAAGAGATGTATACCGCTAGGTGTCTTTTAACGCCGATCTCAAATCTACCTTCCAAATCTGCTGAAACGGTTCTCTGAATGAAGTTATGAAGCAAAACAGTAACGGCAGTGGTCGGGATTTGCAGTCAAAAAGTCGATAGGATGGCCCCTGTCGTGTATCTAGATTGGCGCTTCTTCAGTAGGACTATGACTAAACAGACTATCAGAGCTTTATAAGCTGCGACTTTTGAAACACAAGACAGTAAACACGATCAGGGGCCGATCTACGACGTTTTGACTGCAAATCCCCGACCACTGCCGTTGCGCTGTTTTGCTTCATAACTCCATTCAGAGAATCGTTTAGCAGATTTGAAGGTAGATTTGAGATCAGCGTTCAAAGGCACATTTAGTGGTATACATCTCTTCTTGAATGGACCATGGACGACCAGGGAGCCTTTCCTTGTAAAAGCTCATAACTTAGAAATCTTACGAAACCCTAAATAACCAAGAATAGAACTTTCTAGAGGTTCTTCAAAAACAAAAAGTCATGGTTTATCCCTTCGGAGGAACAAGGGTTGTATTCGGACCTACGGAGATGGATCATATTTAAACGGTTCTGTGAGAGTGAATAATTATTGATTCGTCTAGCATCGACTTTCTTTTAATCTCGGCATAGCTCATAGCATATGATTAATGATCGATACTTTTAAGTGGTTTACTAAGCTATGGAAATCGTCTTCGGTGTTGTGGAGGCGTTTGAGATAGGCTCTGACGAAAGCGCAGAAGCCGAAACGTTAGCCTAATAAAGTTACCTAATCTTGGACGGCTACAGTCAAGTACTCATCTGATCAATTATTGGTCCAATGTGTTGGAATCATCCGGAGTTACAGTTGTACTCGGAGTACCATCCGAGCATGTACAACTGTCACAGTTTATCCCACCTTCAACGGCTGCCGCTCATCTATGTAAGAGAGGGCCCTTCTTCGCATAAGGGAGTGTTTTTTTCATCAAACTCTTCGCTTTGTCCCCCAAGAGCTACAAATTGAATAGCTAGTTCACCATTATGGAGATTCAGCAAACTGTCTATAGATGATGACCTTGTACTATCGCCAATGTCAAGCACTTCCGCAAAAAACGTCCTCGCTGATGTTCGTGAATGAGTGATTCGCGAAATTCAGATTCTAATCACTCATGCACTTATTGTGATACATTTTCGAATAACATTTTTTTTCTCGGCTGACCGCGTGACGACTGGCAGCGGGCCACACCCAGTGGATGCGCATGGTGGCGTGGTCCACGAGCAGGCTGTGACAGTAAATTACTCTACTTTAACAATTATAGATTTTAAGAATGTAGTACAGCTAAAGGGCGGAAGTGGTGTAGTGACAAGTGGCGCGCTCACCACGCGAGCGGTCCGGGGATCAAATCCTGGGTCGTGAGTCGCCCGGGCCAACCAAGCCTTCCATCCCTCCGGGGTCGGTTAATTGGTATC